TAAAAATAAAAACAATAATAATGACCATAATGTTATTTTATAAATAGTAATAATAACAAAAACAAAAATAATGAAAAAAAATTATGAGTAATAGATGTAATTAAAAAATTTAATCGGTCTTTAATTCTAAATAATAATTTTGGATCATAAACAATTTGATTTTTTTATAATAATGGATATATATTGGGTTTATTATATGTTTATAAATAGAAAAAAAAATAAAGTGCTAATGAAATAAAATTTATTTCATTTGCTTGTTTTTTAATCCATTTTTTAAGTATTACTTTAATTTGATAGTTAATTTTTCATAAATATAATTATTTTAAACTATATAAAATAATAGTATTAAAATATAATGATATAAAAATGTAATTATATCACAATTAAATTATTGGTATTTTAATATAATCTGTGATATAAATAATTGCTTGAAAGCGTATATAAAAATTATATTATACATCATCAAACCAAAATTATCATTTTTACATTAACAGTTTTAAATAGAATTATCTCAATAAATAATTTTGGCAAAAATAAGAAGGAACCGACTAAGAATAAATGGAGAACATTTCAATTAGATTATAATTAATATAGAGAAACATTTTATATAGAGAAAGATTTATTAAGATTGTTTTGGAGAATAGAGAATATTTCAATTACATATTTTATATTATAAATAATGTAGAGAAACATTCTGTTCTTGGATATCTTAATTTTAAAGCTAATAAAGATTCATTGAAGATTTTTTGGAGAATAGAGAATATTTCCATTAGATCTTAAATATTATAATTATTAATACAGAGAAATATTTTGCTTTTGTATATCTTAATTTTGAAGCTAATAAATATTTATTGAAGATTTTTTGGAGAATAGAGAATATTTCAATTAGATCCTAAGTATTATAATTAATATAGAGAAACATTTTGTTTTTGGGTATCTTAATTTTAAAGCTAATGAAGATTCATTTAAGATTTTTTGGAGAATAGAGAATTTTTCCATTAGATCTTAAATATTATAATTAATATAGAGAAACATTTTGTTTTTGGATATCTTAGTTTTGAAGCTAATAAAGATTCATTTAAGACTTTTTTGGAAAATGAAAAATATTTCAATTATATTTTAAATATTTTAATTAATATAGAGAAACATTTTGTTTTTGGAAATCTTAATTTTGAAGCTAATAAAGATTCATTTCAGATTTTTTGGGGAATAGAGAATATTTCATTTAGATATTTCATATTATAAGTAATGTAGAGAAACATTTTGTTTTTAGGTATCTAACAAAGATTGATTTTAGTTCTTTTTATATTACAAATTAATTATTTTACATTTATTCCAAATGTATAAGATTGCGTGTCTTCCCCGATAACCGATAATAGATGGGCAAACTGTATTTGAAATTTTGTTTAAAGCTTTCACAACTTAAAGTTTTAGTTATTTTAATATGCAATATGAAAATTCAATTAAAAAGACGACCTGTTAGACTTAAAAAATTCGAGGATTCGGAGATTCACCGTTTATATATATGTATATATCGCTTCTAGGGTTGCAGAAATATGCATAATACATATATTTTTGGATATTTTTTTCTGATTAAATTCGATTATTTACATATATAAGAAGAGAAATTCGTACAAGTTTTATTACCAATCATCGGTTTGTTCTTTTTGGTAACCCCTGTCACAGTATTTGTTGTTTACTCTGAAGGTAACTAATTCAGTAATAGTTTGTAGTACCTATGATAGCATTCATGACGTAATGATGTACCTGAAAGAGACCTTTAAATTTAAAGAGCTTCAAAAATATCGGATAAAACCGTTATTTCACATCATTTGCAGTTTTCTGAATTAACACACTTTTAGTTTGAAACTGTATATGTACATTTAGTATAGGGTTGTTTTCGGTGTGGAACATAAAGTGGATGTGGTTGCAAATAAATGAAGTGTACGCTAGGTGTAAATATTGCTTGTGAATTTAGTGCTTGTATCTATATAATTATATTCATTTCCAAGAACTGAAGTATAGTTCCTGGTACTATTATTCTGAGATATAAGATTGTATTGAATCAGCCAGTAAAAAGATATTGTGGTTTGTGTTTTAATTAAATATTATAAGTTTGTGAGAAAGTAAAACCGCAACATCAAAGCAATTAAATAATTCTTACACAATGTTATAACATTTCCAACCTTTGCACAGTGTGAATAAAATGTTAAGTGGCTGTTTCAAGTTTCGTGGACATCGATTTTTCAAGTTGTTGTGTTGATTTACTTTTTCTTAACAACTTAATATGATTTTAATAGGTAAGAAAGTAGAATGATCGACGTGAATGTGTTTTTTAGCACATTTCGTACATCAAAATATTGTATGATAGTTGTAATTGATATTTTTGTGAGATACATTTTTCTTTATCTTTTTAATAACACGGCTATATGGCGTTAGTGAAATCAAAAGCTTGAATTTTTAAGAATTTGTTACAACTAATAATAACACTGTAATGCATATTTTTATCATTTGAATTCTTATTTATACATAGGGAATTTAGTGGTGCAGATTTGCAAACACAAGATTTCGGGTTCAAACATGCACTACGGGCAGCCTAATATCATACAGTAGTGATATCCATTTTTGCTTGAAAATATAGATCAAAAACATGTTTCTAAATGAAATTGGTCCTTGGGCAATACTGTGCAAAAAAGCATAAAAAATGGAACAGAATAGGTTATGAAAATAAAAATAATATATGAAAAAAATCAATATAATAAAATTTCAAAATTTTGTGAAACGAAATAATAAGATATAAAATAAAAATTATGTATGTACATAAAATGGCTTTTACTAGGCCAATTAATAAGAATGATAATAATAAAAAAAATACATTCATTTATTTATTTATTTCAAATCATATAATTTTTGTATGGTACTGATTTCAATAGGTGCTAAATATAAAACAATACATCTATATATAACATATTTGGTTGAAATATATGGATAGTTCAAAAAAATTTAAGTGTTACATTATGGGATTCTTTGTATAAATTTTTATATTTATACGATGCAATACAACCATGACTCTATGCGAATTGGATGAATTTGTGCTAATATTGATTTAGATACTTTGAATTGGTTGTGAAATAGTAACTTAACAAATTTACTTCTAGTAAGGTTGGGTACTATGTCTCTTTTTCACAGATAACTTTAATTTTGCACACTTTAGGGAAAAAATCGACAAATGTAGAATTTGTTTTAATGAATTTCAGTTAATTTAGAAGTGTAGTACTACAATCAATGTGTCGTAGGCTCCTAATAAAAATGACATAATTTCCTTACTATCCTATGTTTTTCTGCTCGTTTTTAGAATACAGAAATAAACTAAAGAACAATTCTATATTATAATAAGGTTTATAAACTCTGTTTATTTTGTAATTTATATAATTAAGGTATGAACTTATTTAAAATCTCCTGTCACGAGAATCTTTGATAAATCCAATAAAATACTATTTTTTAGGAAAATAGTTACTGCCCTCCTTAAGACTATATTAACTTTTATTCTTGGTTGAAATTTTATAAATAATCTAGTGGTGCATGGCATCGTGCCTTAAGGCAAATTGCTGGAACTTCTCGTACCAAAAATTAAAGCTATATTAAATTCATTTTTTTAGAATTTAAAAATAACTGGATTTTTAAAATTTTTGAAATAAAAATACTTGAATTATATTTTTTTGCACTTTTGTCCCGTATCTTCGGAACAGCTGAACCTGTCTTTGCGAAAAACTAATCAGCACTTCTCCTTATCAATAGAAAACGAATGTTTTTTGAATTATTCAAACTGGTTGATCCGTGTTCTCAAAATCGTCGATGAAAAATTGAATCCGCATATACATACACACTCACACGCACGCACGCACACACATACATCAATTTTTAAAGTATGCCAAAATGATCAGAAACCTTTGAAACGTAAAGATATATAAAAATCTTCATTTTCGATTTTTTTGCGATTACTATAACTTACCCTACGGGATGTTAATAATTGATGATGAAGTATACTTTAATCGCTTCATCTTATAAATATATTTTATGAATGTATTTAGTTCTTCTTACTTATACATTATTAAGAAATTATACGAAAACATGTAACTTTTGGGGATGTCTATCTAGACAGTATTTAAGATATATTCTGAATTTTTTATTAGCCCTTTAAGCGTTGACAAATGAATACTCAAATTAGAATTGAACGAAGGCTAGTGACCTCCAGAATTGGAATGCCCTTGCAGGTGCTTTCACGCTAAGATTAAGGGTAGTTCCCTGTTTTATGTTGGCTTGACAGTTTTATCTTTTGATGCTTTTATGCATTATTTATTTAGGTTAGTAATTTTCGAAATGAAACTCACGCAAAACTCACATTAAGGAAAAGGGATGAGATTATACTGACCGAGTGCGATACGTTAGAAGGTGTCATAGAAACTGCTCTTATGGTATTTTTATATAATGAGAACACACCCACCCACACACACAAACACAATGTATATATATATATATATATATATATATATATATATAATAAGTTTATGATACAAACTTTTGCGAATCGAATTATCCGAATAAAGAAAAACGATACAACTTCGAATTAAGACTATTTATTTATGTCTATTTATATAATCGAAACGTTGCATGATATTCGAATATAAACATTATATTTGGGAAGCATTGCTGAACATAAATAACTGTATATATAACTATTCTCTAGATACTCTAGATGGAAATTCATATCTAGAATGGTGCGAAATTTTCTGCTGTAGATCAGTTCACTTTTTGACATTCTACTGAACTTGCTTTTTAATATGCTCGAGGAGCACAATTTTCATGAAACTGTCATATTAGATTAGTGTCTCATCACTGTAATCTTAAGTTCACTATCTTTTTTTTCACATTTGTGCATTTTTTAGTCGTAAAAAGCGTTAATATCTACAATAAAATAACGATTTTTGTTTTATTTCCAGAATATTAAAGCGACCCTCTGAGAAGTTTTATAAATAAATAAAGCAAAGGAGCACTAAAATAAGGTAATATTTTGTCTATATATAAAAAAATATTTTGTGTTTTTTTTATCTTTCTTACAAAAGAGTTGAGCGAGGCTTAAAGGTTCGCGGGTAAAAATATAAAATTTTTAAGGCAATAGATATATATTCAGTCATTCAGTCAGTCGATGTTGCTATCAATTATAACAAAAGTTATTTCTTTTGTTGGCAGCTTTAGTTTTAAGGTCTTTTATTTAATTTATCATATTTGAATATTCTTTTTAAGTATTCGTTATTCAATTGTTCTATAAGATGTACTGTTATTTTCAAGTTAGATTCAACAGTTTTTATTGAATAACCTCCATAGAAGCTCACATGAGCTTACAGCATTTTTATATAACCTCTATAAAAGCTTACATGTGGGGTAAAACTGGGTAAAACCAACTGAACCTATATTCTGGCAAAGGTGTAAACAATAAGTAGATAATAAATAAAAAGTAAATTAAGTTTAAAATAGCAATTTTACATAAGAAATTAAATTAATAGTTGTTTCAACTCTGGTGATGAATATTTCTGACAAAATACCAGATCAAAGTTATGTAGAGTGTGATCTTTATAAAAAAATGTGCCCATACAATTTGTCAAATAGCAATGCGTAATTGGTTAAATAATTTAGCAATCATTTCGTAAAATTCCTTTGAAATTAAAAATAAAACATTGGATCTGTTTGTCTTTGGCAGTTTCTCTTTACCCCGCCTATGAGGTAATTTTAAAAAAATAGTATAAAAAACATATTTTTATTATTAGAAATTGGCTGGGGATTTTTACTGAACATAGGTCGACAGAACGTAGTTTGATGTGTTGTGATGTCGATAGTTTATTTGTTTTAGGCAGTATAATTACTGAAAGTTAAATTGGACCTTTGTGCTCAGTCTTACCCTAATATTGAATTCAAAAATATTATAATTAAATATTTTATTTTTACATATACATTCTACTAAAATGTTAATTGTTGGTATTTTTTTGTCTTTTTTTAAAATAAGAATATTGATGTTGATGATCCCGGATATATCGCAGACATGTCAAGTTTGTGCACTTTAACTTTCTCTCCTTGCAAGAAGTTATATCTTAAAATTCAAGGTGGATAATATAGATAAAAGTAAAATTGCTTCATATATTGTAAATGCGTTGATTATTTCGAACAGCATTTAATTTCTACTAATTATCAATTTATTTGTTGCTATATTTTTATTTGTGTTGCTAGTATCTTTAATATTGTTGCACTGTTGTATTATTTATTATTTTATGTTTCTGGATTTATATCACATTATTTTAATTAATATGTATTGCTTCTTCATTACAGAGCGCCTTCGCAATGCGAAGGTTATACTTGTACCCGTATCAGCTTCTACATCACTAAACTTGCAGCAAGCAACATGTGTACTCGAGTCCTCTTCGTATTTTCTTTAGCGTTGACGATAACCTGGGCAGATCAAGCCTGGTCGTCGCTTCTGGATCCGATTGAAAATCGCGACGAACCCTTCGACCAAGGCACTCTTCGTCGTAGACCTCAGAAATCAGTGTTCATAGTCCCGCATCTAAGTCCACCTGCTTGTCCCAATGGACAGAGATTGGATAGCTATGGTAGATGTGTTCACATAGCAGAAATCAATCAATCATTGCAGTTGGAATACCTTTTACAAAAATTGAATAATCAGTATTCTACGTCAGGCTCTACGGACGATGGCGATTATGAGTATGATGAGGAAGAAAACGAAGAGGATACTGGCAAACCGTATCAAGTCGCTTTACCTTTACAATCGCATAAGTCACCAGAACAATTTGTCACTTCGACGACTTCTGCGCCAACTAGTACAACGACGCAGGCTCCACTTCCAACAAAGCAATCAAGTATAGCTGCCATTATAGCTGCACCGACTAATGGCAAATTCGGAAATGTATATTCCGAAACATCTGATCAGCTTGAGACAGAACTGGAAAAATTGAAGAAGAAAGAAGATTCAACGGTTTATAATGTGAAATTCCATTCGAATCACGACAGTGGTGATATGGGAAAGTACGTAGTCACTGTTCATCCTATAGAACCATCTTCGCCAGCGACCGAAACATCGAAAGAAACCACGGAACCTGTGACAATGCGGCCTCCAGAAACTACATCGAAGAGGAGCGTGGATAAGGTAAACCATGAACAGCCGTTCTGGTGGGTGCCCCAGGGATGGGAAGCCGAGCGAACCAGGGAGCGGCCACTTCTATTGAGGTTTTGGGCCCGCATGCCTCTGGTGAAGGACCCTGGCGCGGTGACATTACCTGAAACCATACCTGAGTCGGTTATAAGAACGAGGACGAGTGGCCAGAGAGGAACTGGCAGGTTTCCCAGTGAACAATATTACCGTGAAGTGTCAGCGCACGATTTGTACAACGTGCTCGGTGCCAAACATTGGAGAAGGTTCCGTGCTACTGATAGATAGTTAATTTATTCTGAAAATAATTGAAAACTAATTGTGTTTAGTTACTGTTTTTAAATGACTCCAGGACATAAATGTGGTGAATACCTACATGACAATAATGTTTAATTGAAATATTATATGTATCATAGTTTTATATGTATCTGCATTTTAACGTTTCTCTGGTGCTTCATTGTCAGTAGATAGCTCTAGTCCAATTCTGCACATTCTAGGAAAATCATTTAATTTAATCTCATAATTTATAATATTGTAATGTATATGTTAAAATTTTAATATTTTAGATTATATTTATATTACGTTAGGGTTCTACCTGATGCAGTATTTTACTAGCATGCTTTGTGTATATAAAAATAATGTAACACAAGTAAATGTTCATTAGTGGTTATTTTATATAATCACAATTTTTGTTAATCTGTAAAAATTTTGTATAATTTAAAGTGTTATATATATATATATATATATATATAAATAAATGTATTATCACATTTTATACATATAATTTCATATATTTATGAAAGAAATATGACCAATATGTTTTCTCGATTATAAATGAAAATGTATAATAATTTATATTGTGCTGTCTGAAAAATTTTGTAACCAATAATGCTTATTTGATGTTGAATATTATCAGTATAACAAAATACATATGAAAATATTTTGAAGTCGTCTTATTCATCATTTGACAAGTTTTACATACTACTGTCACTTTTGTACTTTTGTTTATAGCATTATAGAAATTCGTCTAAATGATGTGCTGGTGAGGACTATTTGAAGGACTAAAATTCCAAGTTTATTACAATTTTTAATTGACTCTTTCGTAAATTTTTAAGTTAACTTTTAAGTGAAATACCTTGTAAGATTTCATTTCCCATGATTATAAAAATATGTGTACATTTGATTTTCATTTATATTCATAAATAATTTTGCTGTTTTAATTAGTAACTCTTAATATTATATAATATACAATTCAGTGGGCCTACACATATATACAGTGGCTCCCAACCTTTTTTGCACTGCGCCCCCCTGCTCTAATAAAAAAAAAAATGTTGCTCCCCTTAATTTTTTCAATTTAATTTATATTTGTAAATACTCAACTGATGTTATCAGACTCAAGTTAATATGCAATATTATGTAAAAATATGCATAAAAACTAATTATTTTAATATCGTTCCAAAAATGTTGGGTTATTTTCGATAATAGTATTCTGGAAACAGATGAACGCGCCCCCCTCAGAACAGCCTGACGCGCCTCACAGGTTGAAAACCGCTGCATGTATATATATAGATTTATATATTAAGGTGACCATATGTCTTTTCTTAAGGCAATATTTGTCCTGGATTTTGATTTTTTGTCCCAGTTTTTCGAAAATTAATAGTTAATTAACAGGAATTAAGTAAACAAACTAACAGATGCTAATTTTTTCAAATTAATTATGAAGAAAATTGAATAGAACTTATAGATCGAAAAATATAAGATATAATAATATCATAGATAGAGCAGTATTGCATATAGTCGAAGAATAAAGCTCTTACTAAAAGTCTCCGATTCTGATTGAAAAAATGATTCATTTTAAAAAAACTATTTTTTTTATTGTATTCTTGAATAGCATTTATTATATAAACGACTAACACCCCCCCCCCCTTCCCCCCGACGTCCCGGATTAGCTTAACTAAAAATTGCCGTCCCGGATTTGACTTAAAAAAATATGGTCACCTTATATATATATATATATATATATATATATATATATATATTAATAGTATAATATTTTATTTGAATTGATTTTTATCAAGAGAAATATTTAACAGGTAGAGCTACAAATATATTCTGTAATATTGATCATAATGTAAAAATAAAGTATGAGAGATTATTGAATGTAAATCCGCAAGGCTTAATGCTTCATTAATAAATTATTGTTCTTCAAGAACTTCAAGGAATAAATTCAGTAAGTAATTCAACAAATGAAGTGGGCAAAAGAATTGTATGTACTTTTATATGAAACTTTGTTACATATTAAAGGCTTTGTTACATTTATATTGCAAATTAAATTAAATTGCCAATATAAAAAAATCATACCAGATTATTTCTACTTCAAATAACTAAACTCATTTCGAACACACACATAATTTCAAATAAATAAAAATACATAAATGACATGTTCAGAAATATTTTAAACAAATCTTAAGTATCGAGATGAAGAGACTCCATTTGTTAACATTATAATAATACTCATCCTGTCTCTTCATCTCGATACTTAAGATTTGTTTAAAATGTTTCTGTATGTTTCACATGTTTTAGTACTGTGTTAAGGGGCACAACTAGTGTGAAATTTTCAAAAAATTGAATTTTCAATTTTTCCATATTTCGATAGGTTATACCTTTAAAAATAACATACCAAAATTTTAAATTGATATCTTAAATAGTTTTTGAGTTACAGTCATTTAAAGAGTATAGTAAAACGATCATTTTATCTTTAAACGCGTTATTCTCGAAACAGCATTTTCCGAATTTGCTGCAGCGATTACTCAAAAACAAATGATCCGATCACTATTAATTTTTTTTCACATGTTCTATATATAGTTCTCCGTAAAATGAACTATCGATTTTTTGATCGGAGCAAAAATAGAATTTTGGCAGTCCAAAAACGACCAAAATTTTGGGTAAAATTCGACTTTTTTCTAAAAAACGCCGTCATTTTGCCAATTTCTGATTTTTTTTCTTCATCGTAGTTCATTTTACAGACAATATTATCTAGTTTAACAAGAATCACTGCAGCAGTGAAGTGCCTATTTTTTGTCGCGCCGTTGGAGATCGACGATAACTTAAAAAATATTTAATTTTTTTTTCAAGAATTTTACTATGTATTCTCAAAAAAGGTATGAATATATTCCCAAAATTTTGAAATGGTTGATGAAGTAGTTTTTAGAATATAAATTCCCAAAAATCACCTTTTTTTAGGCGGTTACACTAATTGTGCCCCTTAAGCTCTGCAGGTGATGGTTGGTGTTTTTTGTATTTTCAAAATTTAAATGTAATTTTATGTTATATAGCTGAATGTACTTTGTATAGTTTGCTATAAAAAATAAATAAATATATATATATATATATATATACAGGGCCGGTCCTGGAGTCCTAAGCGCCCGCATGCAACTTTTTTTCTAGCGCCCCCCCCCCCCTATTAATATTAACTGTTTTAACAGTTTATCATTAAAATTATATAAATATTTACATATTTTTAAAAATTAATTTTTAATTATTCTGGACTTAGTACACAAAAAATTAGATATAATCTTAAAGCGTATAAAATATATTGATTTTAAATTTATTTAGAAAATCGAGGCGATTAGCGGGTTGATTATAATCAAATATTTTTAAAATTTCAATTATTTTTAACGTATATGCAATATTAATATTTGGGTTTAAGAACATTTTATTTATTTATTATGCGATTTATTCTATTGAGCAAATCATGCCAGTAGTGCAAAAAAAACTAGCTTTTCATTTTCAAACTTTAATTTAATTTAATTTTTTATCATTTACAATATCCAAAATTGCGTCGTAAACTTCTCCTTATTGATATCGTAAGAGCCGAATTGTATTTATCTTTGCTTTCCCGTCATATTCAGAGTATCAGTTTGTTGTTTTAAAGTTAAAATTTTAACGTATTTTAGAAGTATTGTTCAAACATCAGTAAAAAATGCAAAGAAATTACACATTTCTTGAACTATATTGAAAAAAAACTTATTATATTTGATTATTTCTGCATAGTTAATAATTATTAAATTTAGAGTAAGGACACCGCTAGGTATAAAAAAAGCCTTAATATTTTCGTTCCAAAGTAACTTTTGCTTCCATTTTTCATATTTGTTCCATTTCCATAACCCTAACCACGCAAAATTCATCAGAAGCGAAACATTTGCAACAAAAGCAAAAGTTACAATTCAATTTCTCGGAATAAGCATGCCATTTTTTAAGCACTGACTCCCCATTTATTATTTTCCCTATTATGATTTGTTTATATTTTTTAACAAGTTCCGTTTCAACTAAATCAGCTCGTAATTTTTCATCAATAATGCCCAACAATCCCTAATTATCCCTAAGTATCCCTAATTAATTTAACCTTTCGAAGGTTTGAGCTTATTGGATTGAACACTAGATAATTTCTTTTTCGATTCCACGGTAACTTCAAACAAAGAAAAAATTGAAATATTGCATAAGTAGATTAAGCAATGAACAAAGCTGTTATTTACTAATTTGCAGAGCTATTAATCGGTTAATTGTTTCTACTGATATCACATTGCAAAATAAATGTGAATAAATGCTTTCTGTGTCTCCGTATCCCTAATTAAGTTAGATTGTTTATTTCAATTTATTAATTATTCTAGATTTTATATAAATAATTCTGAATTTTATATAAAAAATATGAATATCATATTATAAATTTAATTTCCGAAACTCGTTTTGGCGCCCCCTAAGGCGTGCGCCCGCATTTTTTGCATGCATCGCATGCAAGGCAGGACCGGCCCTGTATATATATATATATATATATATATATATAAAACAATAATTGCAAATTTCATGTTGTTTGAATATAACCACCGACCCGAGATCCGAGATCCGAGCACTCCGCCGTGTTTTGCCGATGCTATGGAATGTCAAAGTGTCAATTTGCGTCTGTAGCTGTCACTAGTAATGTTGACTGCTTTTATTTATTTTGTTTAATTGAAAGTTTTCTATGTTTGTAATTGGTTATATTTATACTATCATACGTGATCGTTTCAATTAATTGTTTGCACTTCTTGAAAGAAACAAACATGCCACTCGTTATTACCCAATTATGTGAGAAGTGGAATTCAAATTAACTTCGAATTATGATAAACAAGCTGGTTTGCCAACTTGTTTGTATTTTTTCGGCCGAGACAATTGTAGATGTAATATAAAATACTTTTGCTTATCTGTTTACGAGTCACTAACTTTTTTTTCTGTTGTGTAGCTGTAATCAACTGTAAAGATGAATTTAGGAAGTAAAAATCCGTTTGGCAATGGACTACTGTATGCCGGATTTAATCAAGACCAAGGTATTGGTGCTCTAATTGCATTTTATATTTGTTTTAAATAACTATATACCTAATTAACTAATGTCTTACCATGAGACAATATAGATACATATTATCTGTTTGCCTTCAAAGTGTAAATATATATCATAGATTCAGTCGTGTAATACTGACAAATCTTTAAACTCAAACTAGTTACACCTCTTCCATTACATTGCTACATATTCGAAATTCCCGTTTTACTGTATTTATTAATTACAAAATTATTATAGTAGGCAATAATGCATAATTTGATTTGCATCATTATGATATTTTTGTGACAACCTAACCTTTGTGGACATAGTTCACATAATAGCATTTTACAGTTTTGATGTAATTAGTTAATTGTTAATGAACTGATATTTGTCACTACCATGTTGAAATTTTATTCTTAAAGTTTTCTTATTTCCAACGAAACAAAACAATCTCAAAATATATATATATATATATATATTTTCTACATATGATATGGTCATTACAACATTTTATATCATTTGTCCTATAATTTAATCATACGTATATTCATTTTTATCTTCATGCTTTGTTCTAATTTATTTATCTACTTTTTTTTCATAATATTTTTTAACTTAATTTTAAATTGCTTCTCTTCTTTGGTCATCTTTATTTCTTTCGGAAGCACATTGAATAATTTTATAGCACTCTATATAGTGTTCCACCTGGTTTTATTTGTTTGTTTTAGATGATAATTTTCTGTTGTCTAGTATTGTTCTTGTGAAGCTCAAAGTGCCAAGTTCAAATAGTTTTCAATTAAATATCGTCTATCTATTGAACCTTATTAAAATCATGTATTAGTTTATTCTAATTATTATTTTCTTTTTTGTAGGCTGTTTTGCATGTGCTACAGACACAGGTTTCAGAGTGTATAATTGTGATCCTCTAAAAGAGAAAGAACGTCAAGACTTTGCAGATGGGGGGCTGGCTCATGTAGAAATGTTATTTAGATGTAATTACTTGGCTCTCGTTGGTGGTGGTGTACGGCCAGTCTATCCCCCAAATAGTGTAATGGTTTGGGATGACTTGAAGAAAATGCCCGCAATATCGTTAGACTTCAATGCACCTGTTAAAGCTGTCCGATTGAGGAGAGATCGAATTGTTGTAGTGTTAGGTAATTGCATAATTTTTATTGTATTGCCTATAAACACTCTTTACATATAGTTTCTAAGCTCAATGATGTGTTCATCAGTATCTATATCTGGGGTTTTTCTTGTTAAAACTACGAGAAAGAATTTTATAGAAACTATATTTTGAGAATTTTTTAATCAAAACTGTAGAAAATATTTATTTTTGCTTATTTTTATACATACATTTAGTCGTTTTAAAAATTATTGAGTATAATATAAATGAAAATAGGTAGAAATTAATTTTTGTCCAATACTTTTCAATCTAATTCGTTAAAGAATTTTCTGATCTTAAGCTTTTTAAGACCTTACTTTTTTTACTGTAATTGCGCAAATATTACACTAGTTTATTTATTTCTCTACTGCGCTTTATTATCTATTATAGTAAGATTTATAAGTTTTCTCAGGATGCATAATATCATTATACTATAAATTGATTTTTTTTTTAATTGTGCTAAATAAATATGCTTCTGCAATTAAACACTGTTAAGTATAAACAAATATCTGCAAACAATTCTCAAAATATGAGTTTGCCTCAATATTTTATCAAACATTGAATTGATGTTAGTCAAAAGTTTTTTATGAATATACTATTGTTTAGTGATGAGCATATATTCGTAACTAACATTACTGATACTTATTTTAATTGAACAATAGATTAATATTTTAATATATAGATTTAATATTTGAATATTTAATTAAAAATATAAATCATTTCAGAGGGAATCATTAAAGTGTTTACATTTACGCAAAATCCGAAACAGCTGCATGTATTTGAAACCAGTCCAAATCCTTTAGGATTATGCGTTCTTTGTCCAAACAGCAATAATTCACTATTAGCATTTCCCAGCAGAAAAATAGGCCATGTGCAGGTAGATAATTTTCTTAACTGCAAATCTTTTGCTTTTCTAATGAAAAATACTTAATATTCTTTTAAAATGAAACTTTCTATTATTTAATTATTATGTAGCGCTAAATCTTGTGATAGCTTACTTATGTGACACAGATACAAATACAGATATAGAATTTTTATTTCTATAAATTTTAAATATAAAATATCTGTTATTTAAAAAAATTATACGGCAAACTATTTAAGCTACTTCTTCAATTGAATTGATTTCCGGAATCTATTTAATTGAGATCAATTATTATATATTGCACTATTTCAAGAAATGTTTTTTATAACTTATTTTAAAGAAGTTAATTAACATAATATATTTTGTTTATTATGAAATATATTTATTATTATTATTCTACAATATTGTTGTATTGTATAAATTTTGTAGTTAGTAGATCTCGCTAACACTGAACGTCCACCATTAGAAATAGAGGCTCATGATTCTGTACTTAGTTGTATTGCACTTAATCTTCAAGGAAATCGATTGGCTACAGCAAGTGAAAAGGGAACGCTTATTAGAGTTTTTGATTCATCTACTGGCAATAAATTAGCAGAATTAAGACGTGGCGCAAACCAGGTAATTTATCAAATAGTGTGATTTAGACAGGCAATGAATATATTGCAATCAAAATTACATTTTGTGCCTGTTGTCGATACCCAGTTGGTTGACTAGCTAATGGTAGTTGTAAAGATGTTACAATTAGCAGTTACCTTCATATCAATAATTTTAATTACAAACATATATAACTGGTCTATTAAATAAATAATTATCATCATGCAATAAATTTATATATATATATATATATATATATATATATATGTGTTTTTTGAAGATGTTTAATACGACGTTTCGGAACTAGGCACGTTCCATCATCAGGTTTATTCTGTAATAATTTATATATCCATATCACTAATATTTTTTTGTTAAAAACACTCGATTTTTTTGGAAGATATTTGTAGATGTTACGACTACACAAGACTTAAACACACTGATCAGTGTGTTATATATATATATATATATATATATATATATATATATATATATATATTATCTGTATGTAAGGTATATATAAATTTGGGCAAACAATTATTCTAGCTTGCTTGTATCACTTTCATGGCTTACGAAGAACCTCATTAGTTAAAAAAATGTGTAAATTTACGTAAATATCTTGATTCGAGCTTGATGATTTAGAATTAAAATCAAGATTATAATTAAATTCATTAAATTAAATAGTAATATTTGAGTGTATTGTTTATTAACTGTCTCAGTGTCATACATTTTATTGCAATATATGTGAAAAATGACAAGAATAATTAACCTCTTTTTTGTGAAATTTTGGAGTAAGAGAAAATAATGTGTAACTTTTGTAAAAATGTTTAAATTTTCAAAAATTTTTCAATGTCATTTTTTTGTTGGATTATTTTATGAATATGAAGGCCAAAAATCTCGCACCTTGGCACTAAGACTTAAGAAGATTATTCAGCATTATTTTTTTATCCGTGTTATTGAATATTTCATACTTGTTTTTTGTTTTAATTACATTATAACCTTGTTGCAGGCCGTAATTTACTGCATTAATTTCAATCATTCATCCACTCATTTATGTGTGTCCAGTGATCATGGTACAGTTCATGTATTCAGCCTAGAAGATCCTACGAGAAACAAGCACAGCCCATTAGCAAGTGCTCCCTTGCCATTTCTTCCTAAATATTTTAACTCTCATTGGAGCTTCGTTAAATTCACTGTACCCCAAGGACCAGCTTGTATATGTGCTTTTGGTAGTGACAGCAATTCTGTTATAGGTATGTGCTTTTTATAATTATGTATTAAATTAGGTGAATTTGTCTTTAACACAAATTATAGTTTAATGATTGATTTTATAGACATCAGAATGAACATAAATTGCAAATAAAAATCAATTGCAACAAAAAATTTGATTTTGTAAAAGTAGTAACTCAATTCCAATCTTTTTATTTTTTATTCTCAATATTAGTATATTAAAAGTATTAAGTGAACATTATTTGTAAACCATTCATTTTTTGTTTCAGTGATATGTGCCGACGGTCATTATTATAAATTTGTATTTAATAGCAAAGGAGAGTGTTCTAGAGATGTTTGTGCACAGTTTCTGGAGATGCCGGAAGACAGAGCATAACGTTTTCCTCTGTATTTTACCATGATATCACAATGCTCAATATTATGAAATATGAGCAAATTTAACTATGACATATGCTATTATCTTTTTAATTTTCAATTAATGAGTTAATTTCACTATTAATAGATTTACAAAAAAATCAGATTCAAATAATATATATTTGTATATATATATATATATATATATATATATATATATATATAATCAGGACTATTCAAAAAACAAAAAATAATAATAATATATATATATATATATATATATATACACATATATATATATATATATATATATATATATATATATATGTATGTATGTATGTATGTATGTATATGTATTTGTATATGTGTGTGTGATTTTATAAGCCTAATTGATGAAAATTTACTTAAATTTTTATAGAATTGGCATTGTTATATTTGAAATGTTATGATTGAAAATGAAAATGTTATAAATGATTACATTTATTATATATTCTATATAAAATTTTAATGAACATTTTTTTTGATCCGAGATGTTAATATGAACTTTTGACTGAATGTGCAGAGATTAAAATTGTTTTTAATTACTGCTCGATAGGATAATAAATCTCTGTGAGCTTACTAATTAAATTTCATAATTTTGTTGGTAATTATTACTTTAAATGTTACCTTTATTTAGTTTTTATTTCAAAAAACCTAAAATTAAATAATTTATTATTTTGCCCCGTATTAATGTAATTAATTTATCATAAAGTTGTCTGGTGTTATTTGGTTTTTAATTATGATAACTTATATCACTGTGTGTAATTATGATAAATACATAAGCTATATTTATTTTAAATTTGTATGTGAGTTTTAATGAACTGAAACGAGGAATAGTATTTAATATTTTTTATTTACATGTACGGTATATTATTTTTGCGTAATGATTAATTTTATTGGGGTAGTTCATATATATATATATATATATATATATATATATATATATATATATATATATATATCAACACCATATAGATAATTTTGTTCAGGCATGACGCTAAGTAAAAAATGTAATGATTAGAATTACAAATTTATGGAACTTGTACATTTTGGTGAGAAGACCATCATTTTGTGAGAAATAACTGAAGTCAACAATCAGAGATTTACATAATTGTATGTGATAATTATAATAAAATATTATTAAACTTTTACTTTTAAAAATATACTTGCAACTGTAATAGTTTTGCAAGTAATAATATAGAAATTTTATAATTATTGCATAAAATTTAGTAATTCTCTTATTGTTATTAGCTTTTGGTTTTTCTCACTTAATGATGGTCTTCATGTAATTTTAATACTAAACTTTTTAATTGATATTATACCTGAACAAATTTATTATATATAATATATTATATATTATATTATATATATATATATATATATATATATATATATATATATAGTTTTTTCATTATATGTATTTATATAATTATTTTTCAAATATTATTTACAAATTGTGTAGACATAATCAAACTAAATAAGCAGATACATATTATATTACTCATAGTTTTGAAATCTTAACAAACCAATATTTTTACGACAGGTAAGCATGGTTTATTTGACTTTATTTTAATTTTAAAATCTATATTAATCAATCTATAATTTAATAATGTTCTATTTTGTTATAGACATTTAGCCATCAAGGGTAAATAAAAATACCTGGGAAAATGTAATGTTACCGATTATATATCTGTATGCTAAATCATCAGCTGAATATGTTACAAAATTACTGTATTCAAGATACATGTTGCATCTCGATTGAATGGAGCTTGGTAACTAATATATATATGTGACCAAAGTAAGTGAATAGTTAGTGTTGGTGTCATCATCGATTTCCTTAAGGATTAAAATTTATTTAAGTTATTTCTCAGGCTGATATTGTGTCTTGATCGTGTCACTGCAACTGTGTTTGGTATTATGTTTAAAAATAGTCAGCGGTATCGCTGCTCCAATTTTTGCGAATTAGTTTTGTTAAGTTTTTTTTTTATTTAACGCGAAGAGTGAGCTGTGTACAAGTTAGTTATATATGATTTTATTTAATTTATTAACTTAACAAAAAACGTTTGTTATTATGGAAATGTATTTTAATGTAGTATAATTATAAAAATATAGCATTCCATTTGTTTTTAATTATCAATTAGATTTTTTCTGCTAGTTTACCTAATTTTTCTGGTTTATCTTCATACAGAATTATGATAGTTTTAATTGATATCTACATTCATTACGATATTTTTTCCAATTGATCTCATGTGTGAAATATCTCACCTATATCGTCCAACTTATATACTTTTCTTAACTATGCCCCAGCGTTGTACTGCTATCACTAAAGTAATTTAAATATTTTTATCATTTTTTCAACAATATTTATTTGGTAATGTTTATTAGTGTTCTTCAGATATAATTATTATAATGTATTACTTATTCTTAATGGAACATAATGTAATCTTGTTATAATATAGAGAACATGCAATTTTCTGTTTATCAGTCACAAGTTAATTGGATGGGACTCTTGATACTTGTTGATATTTGAGAATTATAAAATAGTGTTGCTTATATTATATAGTGCACCTTTTGATCTATATATATGTATGTATATTCAATTCAATTTATAAGAAATATTTTCACATTTGCACATCAACTTATAGGTAATATGATCCATAAGAATAATAGTTTGGAAAACAGATAGAATTATAATTATTATGTTTTCATATAACGTTAGTGAATTTGTGATTGAGATTTTTATTGGAGGCACTGGATTTTATTGGTAAAATAGAATCGGTTGTCCGGCAAGACATTTCCTTGTTTTCAATCTGTTTCTTTAGAGCACGGTAATAGCAGCGTACTGTGAGCCACATGTGAATATTCATCACTGTCAAAATCAGACAACCAATTCCTGTGAATAAATAAGTAAAATTAGTATTAATAATATTAATTCATATGAAAATTGAACTTAAAGCCAGTTTGGTTTTAATATTTTGAAAAGGTCATATAGTGCACTTACGGTAAACCCAATGGCCTCCAAAAATATCCACGAAATTTTCGTTTTGATCTCCACCCCACAAAAATGCTAAAAATATTGTCATTACGAGCACGTCGACGAACAGCCATGGTAATAGCAATTCGGGCGATTTTTTAATGGCTCCTATTATACAAACTATTCCAATTACTACGTACACCGAAGTTATAGCGATAGACGTATACAAAATCACTACGGTAACTGCAACAAAAATATTTTTAAATCATTATAATATAATAAAAAAAATATTTCAAAATACGATAATTCATATATAAAATTTTGGCTTCGTTGCTTTAATTTCAACTCCTAATCCAAAAGCTATATATCTAACTTATTGTCGCACAAAACGTACTTTTATAGAATCTAAGAGAATTGGTAAAAATGTAATAAATAGTGTAATAAAATGTAATAAAATACTTATGTTGAAAAAAAACTTTTTTAAGTAACCGATTTGAAAGTGGTATCTTGCCTTAAGGCAAGTTGCGTCAATTTCCTGATACGTGTAAACAATCGAATTAAACGATAAGAATTGAGATTTAGCTATTTAGAAAAAAAAATTCAAACATTTATTTCGAAAATAACGTCAACGATAATCAGCACATGAAAAGCCGTGCAAAGCGCGCTTCAAATTTTTGATGATTTTTTATAATTCAAGCGCTTCTTGTATGCCTATAATATTTTAGTATGTTGAAAATCGTCAAACAACATTTTTCACGGACGATTTTTACCAAAACCTAATCAGCACGATTTTAAGCTGATATCTTTTGAACTGTTTTTGAATTTTCAACATGGGTTCAAAATTTTTGAATTATGGACAAAAAATTTAGCAGTTTTCTGCTAATTATGAAGGAACTGATTAGAGTTATATTAAATTGGTTTTGAATTTTTGAGAAAAGTGCAGTCGTTTTTAAAAAAACGTCGACGAAAGGTAAATAATTTGCTCTCATACACACATACGAGGGTTATTCAACAAGTACTCAGCCTCCGCGTCTTTTCGGCATATTTTGCTGCCCTCGAGAAAACGTATTTTTTGGACGGGTTGAAAAAGTTGAAGCATCGTTGGGCCAAGTGTTGAAAAATATTGTTTACGTTATGCTGAAAAATAAATTACAGCTTTTCTGCGGCAAAGTTTTCATTTGTAGACACTATGCACTTGTTGAACAAAATTTTGGTTTCAAACAATTTAGAACATCAAGAGAATACAAAATTAGCAAATTGGATTTTCTGGCGAAAACAAACTTCTCTTTCGAAAAGTTAATAAATCAATTAATCAAAAGTTAATTAAATAATCATCAGCTTGTACATAACAGTTGGCAAATATATATCTAAAGAGGCGTCCATTAATCATGTGATCGACTTTTTAAGTATTTTTGTAACGCGGTAATTTAGTTCCTCATCTTGTTTCTATATTTTCGTTTCTTTAACTTTTGTGTTAATTCTTCAAAAGCATTTTTATTAACATAAATCGTGACCTTGTCGATTGTTATTTAATTAGCAGGTTCGACAACCATGGTCGATGTTTTTTGAGTAGAATATACGAAAATGATAATATCACTTACAATAAGAGTATTACAAAAATAGTGCTAAAGCATAGAATTGATAATAACTCACTGTCAGTACTTAACACATGCTTAACACTACTGTTGAAACACTGGCCTTATTATATATGGTCTTAGACGACATTGTACATGAAGGAATATTATGCAGATATCAGTATAACATTGAAAACATTTAGTGCAGCAAATATCGCCTTTTCTAATTACGAATTAAGTTCCGATTAGATTGCATAGCAGAGATATATGTAGTATTTTATTACATATAGATTTTATACATATAGAGGGTACAGTTACGATGTTCAAATTTTTAAATTTCAAATAAATCAGGCTGGATCTTTGAATTGGTGGATGATCTATTATGCCGTTTACAGAAAGAAAGAAATTAACTAAGCAATTGATAGACTTTGATACTAAACTATGCTCTGCTTTTTTTTTTAAAAAAAGCGATAAATCATGCTATTAGTTGACGATTGCTAAAATGAACCATGTCATTGTATAAAATTTTAGTTTAAATATGAACAGAAATTTTTCAAGCAATGGGAGGGATAAATATTTAGGTATCAGATGTTTAAATCAAAATTATTAAACTATTTTGAAATGCAAATTATGTAATGTTGAATAATCTTCTAATAATAAAAGCATGTGTTAATAGCGAGATACTAATATTTTATTATGAAATGTTCAGACATTTGCCGTCGTCTTATCTATTTGTTTAAAATAGCGAGTCTTTAGTTTAATTTATTCTAAATGTTGAACTATTTGTGTATTTTGTAAACTGTTGCCGCCTGACGTTGTCTGAAACTTTCTATGTATTTTTTTTTTGTTAAATTACATTTTTAAAATTTTTGTTTGTAATTAAAATAAAACTCTTTCAAATACAAATTGATAATTTTATCACGTGAATTCAAAACGACAGGGCCTGCCTCCCCTAAAAACTATTAAACGTCGTCAATGTTACATCACAAATCGATTTTTTTTTAATATACATATCCATAATTAACACATTCATTACATACACACATAAATTTCAAAGAACCAAGGAATGCAGAATTAGTCAGGAAATAATAAAAGTTTATAAACAGAAAACTATAATTTAAAATAAATTTAATTTCAATGTGGGAAAAATATCTCGATTGAAATAATAAAGAAAGTTGGGGTAACTTTGGCGACATGTAATAGTACCTAATGCCAGCCTTTTGGAATTGAGCATGCGTTCGTGATTAACAGAATAAGTTTTAGTCTTAGGATTGATGTCCCATAGAGCACCTTCTCGTTCGGCCTGGTCTTCCATGTCCGTGTGGAGGACGGATGTCATCTCTTGCGCGTGCGAAAGCGCCAGGAGCAACAGGAATAATAATATCGCAGCAGCAATCTATATAAAAAATATTGAAATTATATTAAATTTATCATAAATTAATCTAATTTGCAAACAAATAAACGTTTTTTTCTTTCCTCCAAGCCGAAATCGTTCGAGTAAACACTTTTATCGTTTCGTTGATGAGTTAGAAGGAGTTTCAGAAGGGTTTTTGTTTTAGAAGGGTTTTATTTATCAAAATATGCAAATCCGTTAATGGGTAATTGTTTCTGTTAAATGGAAACACTACGACAAATTTTTCATGAACTCAAATATTCGCCAATCACACAAATTAATATTTTTAAAATTCCCCACGTTCACTTTTTTAGATCAGCAAGTTTCTAGACAAAAAGTACGTTTTTAAGACTGACAGTATATTATCTTTTAAAATAATATTCAACAGGATTTAATAGACGTGGGGTGTGAAAATTATTTAATAGGACCTTTAAATCTGAAAATAATATTAAATATAAAATATATTACTTGTTCTTATACCTATCAACATGTCACTTTATAATAGAAAACAATTCAAACAATCAGTTAATTGTTTCTGATGTATTATTTTAGTAGGGTAAATACAAAAAAAAAATAACAATTCAATTTTGTCAACTTTGTTCTGTCACATCAACTTTGTTCCGCAAACAATTTTAATTAATAATAAATGGCAGTCGTCGCTGGTCCAGAATAGCGAAAAACTTTCAGCTTTATATCATAAATTATTATTAAAAAATAATGCTTTATTTTATTAATTCACCAATGCAATCGATTTATAGGTTTAATTTAATGTTCACCATCACAACAATTGTGCAATAAATTCGATAATAATGGTACATTTTAACAAATGCAATAAAAATAACAATAAATAATGAAATACATTTTTAATAAAAAATAATTCATGCATATATATAAAAATAAAATATATATATATATATATATATATATATCATATTATTTTTGTTGATATTTGAATTGAACTTATACTTAACTGCAAAAAAATAATGAGAGGAAAATATTATTTACAAATACGTTGTTATTAAACACACTCACACACACACACACACATATATATATATATATATATATATATATATATATAATTATACTATTTATTTTATTATTTATAATATATATTTTGTATATTTCAGTCATGCAGAAGTGTCTGGTATGAGAGATCATATAATATATCTATACATGGTATGTATTTATTTACATGTCATTGTATTATGTGACCATATCAACATTTTCTTATATATATATATATATATATATATATATATATATAAACAAATATTTATCGTCGCTGCGATGTTATTAAATCGAAATTATTTAAATTCGCTATAAATATCGCTGTGGCATATTTGCTTGACTGGCATGGTGGTTTATAAAGTGGATATAAAGTACTAACCGTTTGGTGAACAGATATCACAATACATCTTAATTTTAAAGATTTGATGCTTAAATTATGTATTGTGATAGATTTGATGCAAGCATCAAGTATTCCGTGCGTCCGCTGCAGCATTTCGGATGGATTCGAAGCTAACTTTAAAACAGAACTATTAGAACTATAGAACTAATTATTTACAGATAGTATTATGTAACATCATTAGAAGACTGTTTTATGAACTATAAAAGTTATTATTATTTAAATTTGATAGCAGAAAGTCGTGGAGAATGCAACGCGATCGAACCGTGCACAAGAATGTGTCATGCTCGCGTATTCAATAAATTGGCACATGCGCATCCGCTCTCGGTCCACCCTTCCTGATAGGAGTCAACTTATGAATTTTTAAATTTGTACAACTTGCCTATGAAAATATTATGAGTCCTCGACTTTTTTCAAATATAATGTAATAGTCTTCAAAAAAAATGTTTTTTTCCGATACGACACAGATTAAAAAAGTTCAATTTTATATTGGCAATGAAACTTTGTGTTTGAGATATTGTAAATACTATGAGAAACAACATATTCAAATAACATTGCACCAGTTTTTTTTGTGCATCAATAAAACAATTAGCATACATCTTAAATATTTTTTCATGGGACTAAGTAACATTATTCCGTGATGCATTGTCCGTTTTGATTAATGGTCAATGAATGATGTCCGTCATATTTCAAGTAACAACATTATCCCACTTTCATACAGCTTCATAGCAAAACGCTAATTCAGGTACAATTTGACACCATCATAATCATTGAATTGTTTATGGCAAAATGTCCCAACCAATATTTTTTCCGAGTAGCCAGAGATATGTGATGTTAATAATGGTATAAATCACGGTTTTGATTTGTCAATTTGAACCGCTTTTCTTCGACCTCAGAATAGACGTTAAGTTGGCTAGTAAGAGTAAAAGTAGACAGTTCCTGTGTAACCAATTCCAACTGGACGACCAGAGCGTTTTTTAGCATTGAGTGAAAAATAATCAAGACGAAATTTTGATACTGCCATTTTTTAAGGCATTTCGTCACCATCAATAGCTCGTAACTTTTTTTAGCTTAAGATGCCCTTTTACTTTTACAGAAATAGAACGAAAACTACGCAATCAATCAAAAAACTCTTTTATTGATGGATATTTAAATTACCCCTTGATTGATTTGATTTTTGTCATTCATTCCAGACTGGAATGTGTGTGTGTAAGTGTGTATGTGTGTGTGTGTGTGTGTGTGTGTGTGTGCAGATACAAACTTTCGTCGACGATTTCGGGAACACGGTTCAACCAATTTCAATTATTTAAAAAACATTCGATTGCTGTTGATAAGGAAACGTGCTGATTAGTTTTTGGCATAGGCAGGTCTAGACATTTCGAAGATACGTGGCAAAAGTGCCACAAACGGTAACTCAGTTTCTAAGAGAACGGAGAGTTCGATTTTAATAATTCAAAAAACACTTTACTTGTTTTGACAAGATGAACAACTGATTAAATTTTCATAAAGGCAGGTTTAGCGGTTTCGGAGATCTAGTAAAAAAGTAAAAGAAAATACTATTTTCGGTCAAAAATGATCATTAGACATATGCACATCAAATTATCAGATATTTTATAGAGATTTTAACAATAAGTATAAATTTTGTTTACATTCCTATGGGTCCCGTACCAATGTTTATCCGTTAGTTCAAAACTTTCAAAATATTTCAAAATAAAGAAAACATTTTTTTTCAAATAGTCTTTTTTCTAAGAAAATAATTTTTTTTCAAAAATTTATAGTTTTTCAAAAATCTAATTTTTTCAATGTAAATTTTTTTCAAAAATTGTAATCTTTTTAAAAAAAATAATTTTTGATACGGAAAGTTCCAGCAATTCGCCTTAAGGCACAATGCCATGCGCTCCACTAGTTTTATATTTAAAACGCCGGACTGCAACGACACAGCGTTTTACTATAACTTACCCTACTATAGTTCCTATACGAAAAAATGAAAAAGCTCGACGTTAACAAGATTTTAACTTTAACCTTAACATGTTTCATATTTGAAACGCAAGACTGCAACGACATAGCATTTCGACAGTTTTTAGTATCATTTTGTAAGGCACTATTTATTGGTTTGTAATATCTGTTACTATTTATTATTATTATTACATCATTACATTCATAGATTAAATATTAGATTCAGGTAATTATTTGTAAATACGTTTTTGTTAAATTCTATTTTATCTGTAAATTATATTTAGTTATTATATTTGCATACACACTTAAGGAAAATACAATATTTTTTATTTATATAATTTATTTATGAGATAAAAGTGATATATAGAAATGTATGTATTTACAATCTATTAATCCTTCAGAAACCATGTCATATATTCGTTGACAGTTTCGTACAACTGTGACCACGAGAAACCTTGAAGAGTAAGTTGGGGGTCGGTTCCAGATGTTGTTGACCAGGTATACCCCATGACGTTGTAGAGTGTCATTAACTCTTCTGATAACTGGTAGTTCACATTTAATGCGTTGAGAGCCTCCTTCATTTTTTCTTCGGCTGTTAATAAATCATTATACAAAATGGACAAAGCTAGTTTGCATTTCTTCTCGCCACATTTTGCGAAAGGGTGATAATTGTTCGCAATTGATTCCATTTCGATCTCTTGCGCACATGATTCTTTCCTTAATTTTTCTATCTTAGGAATCATTGCTGCATTAATAGGTTCTACTTTAACATGCTTTTTAATATGCTTGTCTAGATCGATCTTTTGTAAAATAAGAAAGACCGCCTCGGAAGAAACATGTTTGGCAGCTTGTTTTGAGGAAGCAGTTGCTCTTTCCTTAAAAGTGGAAACAGTGCACTCCATAGTGTATTGTTTAGCATGAGATGGTCCAGTTTCTTCGATTAAATTATACACGGGTATCGGTAAACCGTTTTTATCACAAAATTGACTTAACTTTCTTACGGCTACAGGGATGGTTGTGGATGGCTGCCCTTCAACGGTTTCCTTATCCTCCAAAACTGGTGACTCGATTAAGTTAATTTCAGATAGCTTTGTAAGCGCCAACCTTGCCGACTCTTGTTTGGCTTCTTTTTTGGATTTCCCTGATCCAACAACCCTTACTTCAATTTCGTTTACTGTCATACGCACTTCATATATAAAGATGGGGTTCCTGGTTCCCGTCCCGTCGCGAATTAGGTTAAATTTTGGAGCCGGCGTTTTTTTTGCGGAGCAAAAGTTTACTAGAACTGTTACTGGGGTCTCCTGAGACATTATCACAACCCGAGTAAAATTACGGACGAAATTATTATTTATTTTAATAATTTATTTAGTGACTACTGAAATGAGTGTAATCAAAAATTTGCTGTTCGCCGTTTGTTTTTTCCATAAATTTTGTTTGATGTTGGCTCTCAATGTGTTAGTAGGCTTGAAACTGTAGTTATTTTTTGTTGTAATGACATTTAGAGTCCTAGCCAAAAACAGAATATAATATATTCATACAGACGTTTTTCTCTCACTCCATTTCTACGTTCAGATAGCTAATTAATTTGCACGATATTAAAAAAAAAAGAATTTTAATAACAAATAATTTAGGTAATTTAAACTTAATAGTTTTAAATATAATAGTTTAGATTATTTAAACCTAAATTTTGCATTACAATCGTCTTACTTTTTGTAATACAATAATAACTTGCCGTAATTAAATATTCGAGAAAGAAAAATCAATAATTTATAAATATTGATTAGCGATGAACAACACAAAACACTTACGTATGTTTGTATTTACAAAAGACGTAACTGCATCATCGAAGCGAAGCTATTGATAATGAGATGTGCTGATTAGTTTTTGGAAAAGGCAGGTCCAGCAGTTACGGAGATAAAGAGCAAAGAGTGCAGAAAATAGAAATCGAGTTTTTGAGAGAATGGAGCATCCAATTTGAATGATCTAAAAACATTCAATTAGTAATGGTTGGGAGAAGTGGTTATTAGCTTTTGGCAAAGGCAGGCCCTGCCATTTCGAAGATACAGAGCTAAATGTGCAAAAAGTGGCTGTTTTTAGGAGAACTAAGCGTCCGATTTAAATGATTCAAAAAAACTATTTGCTTGTTTTAACAAAATAATTGATTTTGGTAAAAAAAATTTTTTGTTTCAAAATTTAAAAAAAAAAAAAATTGTGTATCGAAAATAATTCATATTTTATTTTTAATTCTGACGAAATTTCTAATATACTTTAAAAAAATAATTTCAACTTTGCAATTCAGTTTATATAATTCTTATAAATATTAGACAATGTTACAATATTGATAATAATCTATTTGAAAACATTCAATATTCCTCCAACATTTCATTACTGCACGGGAAGTTGCAGCAATTTGCCTTAAGGAACGATGCCATAATACACCCCACTAGTTTTCAGGTTATTTACGTTCATTCTTTCTATTTCGAAATTAAATTTAGTTGGTACAAAGTTTTTATGATTATTTCGATTTTTGTCATGAAAAAAATATTAATTTTTGCTTTTGTACGTTGGGGATCTTTGTGCCCTTGGGTCATCGTATAATTGATACTGCTGATACAGCAGTAGCTTGCACCCCTGCTTATGATTTCAATTTTCTTTTTTGTATGATTTACTTTTACTTTAGATTGATGACTCATATAAAATTGACGAATTGGTTTTATTATTGAAAATAAGATTCAAAATTTCAACAATTGAAAATATTATTTTGAAAAAACAATGATTAAAATAGTGCATAAATATTATTTTCAAATAGCATTTCAAATTGTCAGCATAATCATTACCTGCGACTGATATCTGATGTTTTATAAACTCTAATTTGATATATCAATATTTTAAATATTTGCCGAAATAAACATTATGTCAAAATACGTATATTTTTGTTCATTGCTATATTTTAATCTTGTTTTTGAAAGATATCTCGTCATGTTTTGATGTTTTAATGTTAAACATTTATATATATATATAATAAATAATTGTTAATATTAATTTATTTTTAATCCAAAAAATTAGCTGCTATATAGAACAAATATATCTGATAAAAGGTGTTTTATTATTAAAATTAAGATTTTAAAATATAATAAATCAAAGAGGTATATTACTAGCATTATAAACATATTTATGCAATTACAGTATATTTTTCTTTAACTTTATTTATTTATTAAAAGGATAATATATTATGGTAATATTATTATCATTCCGCGATTTACATTTAATTCACGCTGCAATACGCTGAACACATGTTGAACAATCGTTTATATGTTTACTTTAAACATTTGGAGCGCGATTGCAAATAAATTATGTTACAAAGTGAAAACAAAACATTTTTGCTAATCCAGCAATTTTGTTATTTATGCAACAGTGTTTATTGTTTTGGTGCCACATATATCGATGTCCAGATGTTCGTATCGAAATATAAAAAATATGGTATTTATTATTGTCGGTTTTATTTGTTGATTAAATCTGTTTTTTTTATTTTGATGGAGTATTTTAGTCAAAGCTTTAAACAATGATTTACAGTAGGGGCGGTCGGGACTAGTTCTCAGGGCAGCAAAATTTGGGAAGCCTCAAAAAATGTCTATACAATATAATTATTAATTAATATAACTTTTTAAAAATATTTTTAATAAAATTAAATATGTATTATGTAATAAATTAAAACTTTGTATATTTTAATTCTGAAGATGAAACTATCTATCAAAATAGTTTGATTCAATAAATATTTAAAAATATAATATTTGATTCTTTTACTTTCGTAAATTCATGAATTTATATGATTTTATCGAAAATCAAAACCATTTTCAAGTTATTCATGTTTTTTTAAAAACAAACTTTACCAATTTACCAATTTACCAATGATAGGGCAGCATTTTTATCAGTGCCCTCGGGCGGCATAAATTTAAATTCGGTCCTTGATGTATGAGTCATCAAATCGATTATAATTTTATGAGTTGTGTTGATTAATTTTTCATAACTTTTTTCAACAAATAAATTTTGTCAACCACGAAAATATTTCAAGTCAAAAATCTAACCAAGAAATATGTTAAGTCAACCAGATTTCAACTTCCGATTAAAATTTGATATTTTTAAACCTTCGAAACTTTTTTAAACTTTTTGCTGCGAGAAGGTTTTCCACAGGGATATCCTCTGCTGCATGAGCCAGTGAAATGCCCAAGTATTTGTTACACAAAATGTTTTCAGCTTTTCCTAGCATTTTCGATTCAAAAATATTTAAAAATCAACCCTTTCGCTACGGGAGTGTTTTCCGCAGCAGTGCTACTGAACGACCCAGGCACAACGATATATTTTTAAGATATTTAAGATCATTATCAATATATCATTATCAATAAAAATGTGTTGAAAAATTAAAAATTGTGCTTCTAATAAACTGTAAATAATTATAAAAATTGGAATTACCAATAGTTTAACTCATAGTGATAAATTTGAAGCAAAGAACATGTTGTCCATGGACGTACACACAGCACGCCATGCGGATGTCGTCCATGGACGACACTCGTAGCGAAAGGGTTAAATATTATATTTTCAAAAAAACTAAAAACCACGATAACAAAGCAGAATTTTTGACTGAGATAAAGAAGGAAAATTCATCACACTGGGTGGGTGTTGTGCCTAGGCGAAATTCGTACACACAGGTCGTCAAGCGGATGTTGTCGCTCGTAGCGAAAGATATTATATGACTCATTTCAATCATTCGAAATAATATCCTGCAAATACTAGAACTAGAGATTATAAATGGTATAAATGTTATTTTAAAACAACATGGATTTGTGTTATCATAATCATATTCTGTTAATGATATCTTATATTTTATAAACTTCAATTTGAGATACCAATAATTAAAATATTTGTCGGATTAATCATCGCGAAAATATTATTCAGAAATGTTTTCCCATATCTATATTTTACCATGATGTTTTGAAAATTGTGCAATGAAAAACCAATTGTGTTTTTAACATCCCGTAGGGTAAGTTATTGTAATGGGCCGAAAATCGGAATTGAGAATTTTTACATTTCTCGACGTTTTGAAGGTTTCTGAACGTTTTGGCATACTTCAGCAAAAATGGATGTGTGTGTGTGTGTATGTATGGATACAAATTTCCAGTCACGTTTTCGGGCGCACGGATCAACCGATTTGAATGGTTCAAAAAACATTCGATTCCTATTGATAGGGAAAAGAGCTGATTAGTTTTTGGCGAAGGCAGGTCCAGCCGTTTCGGAGATACGGAGCAACGAGTGCAGAAAATAGAAATCGACTTTTTGAGAGAACGGAGTATCCGATTTGAATGATCTAAAAAACATTCAATTAGTAATGATTGGGAAAAGTGTTTATTAGTTTTTGGCAAAGGCAGGCCCAGCCATTTCGAAGATACGGAGCTAAATATGTGAAAAATGGCAGTTTTTGAGAGATCTAAGCGTCCGATTTAAATGATTCAAAGAACTTTCTGCTTGTCTTAAGAAAATAATTGATTTTGGAAAAAAAATTGTATAATATTTTTTTTTTTTTTAGAGTTTTTTTTTGTATATCGAAAATAATTACAATAATGTTACAATATTTATAATAATCTATTTGAAAACATTCAGTATTCCTCGAACATTTTGTTACGGTACGGGAAGTTCGAGCAATTTGCCTTAAGGCACGATGCCATACACCCCACTAGTTTAAAACAATTTTAATAATAGTTCGTATTTTTTGAAGATATCGATTTATGTCGGAACAATATTATTACCTATTGGAACACACGCGATGCTTCGCTATTTTTCAAAACAGCCATCTAGGATAAATAGGTTCGAGTAAATTGTTCGGCAATCAGTTCGTCGAGTCTACCATTGCCGTTGCATTGCTTTCCAAGAACGCCACCTGTTAGACGTAATACTCCCGTCGGCTCATTCGGTGTTCGAACAGCGCAGCTCCAACAAGTGTTTGTCAGTGTTTCTTGGTCGCTAGAAGAAGGTAAACGGGTGCCTCAGGTGTGCTTTAGATACAACGCTGTGAATTACAAAGACATTCAAGTGAATTTATTCAAGTGCTGTGATATTATATTAAGTGTTTTTAATATTTTAATATAGTGAAATTAAGTGGCCAAACGTCTTTTCTTACGAAATGCCTTGTTCTGCGGTTACTTTGTCTTTAGCTACGATATGTGCTGTTGTTGCCGTTGCTTTGATGGCAATTGCCTTTTCTACGGACAATTGGCTGTATTTTGAAGTCAAGAGAGCTAATATTCAGGTATGTGTTAATATCATTTAATTAAAAAATTTACTGTTTGATCAAACATTACGTTTAGCAAAATTGCGAATTTAACATTATGTTTGCAAATTTTTTAATAGGCCAATTTTTTTACTTTTACCAATGCCATTTTTTTACTTTTAAGCGCTTCGTTTAGGTTTTGTTAAAGTGTTAAGGAGATAATTAACCAGTACATAAATTTATGTCATGACATCATTTCTGATTATATTTCTAAACTAGCTAGTGTAGATACTCACGATGCTATTGGCGAAGGTGAACTTCGAGTTAAGCACATGGCGTTTCTTTAGAACTAATAATAAGAATTCCTATGCAATTTGACACGAACATTTAGACACCCCTAAGCACTGTATTATGAGATATAAAAATTAACTATTGCTTATTATTACAACTATAATAATTGCACATGTGATTAAATCTAAGTTGCAATATTAACTTTTATGTTAAAAACCTACTTCATAGATTTGCGTACTCTTTTATGTTTGTATCATGTTCACTTTTAGATAGAACTGTAGGGATGTTTTTTTTAAAATAATATAAAACGTAATAACAAGAAATATCTTAAAATATTTACGTATTAGATAAAAAAACGTATGATATAAATAATTCATGTTTTAGTTTTAATTAAGTTACAGTAGTCGCAAAGAAATCGAAAATTAAATTTTTTGCATATCTTCACGTTTCAAAGGTTTCTAAACATTTTGGCATACCTTAGAAAAAATTGATGTATGTGTGTGTAGTGCGTATGTATGTATGTTTGAATACAATTTTTAGTCCACGATTTTTAGAGCACGGATCAACCGATTAGAATAATTCAAAAACCATTTGATTCGTATTGATGGGGAGACGTGATGATTAGTTTTTCGCAAAGACAGGTTTAGCAGTTTCGAAGATATGGGGCAAAAAGTGCCAAAAATGATAATTCAGTTGTTGATAGATGATAATTCTGTTGTAGTATGTATGTCTGTATGAATACAATTTTTCGTTCACGATTTTTAGAGCACGTATCAACCGATTAGAATAATTCAAAAATCATTTGATTCGCATTGATGGTGAGTCGTGATGATTAGTTTTTCGCAAAGACAGGTTTAGCAGTTTCGAAGATATGGGGCATAAAGTGCCAAAATTGATAATTCAGTTGTAGTACGTATGTCTGTATGTTTGAATACAATTTTTCGTCCACGATTTTTAGAGCACGGATCAACCGATTAGAATAATTAAAAAACCATTTGATTCGTATTGATGGGGAGACGTGATGATTAGTTTTTGGCAAAGATAGGTCCAGCAGTTTTGAAGATATGGGGCAAAAAGTGCCAAAAAATGTAATTCAGTTGTTGAGAGAATGGAGCATCCTATTTAAATCATTTAAAAAAACATTTTACTTGTATTGATGAAATAAACAACTGATTAAATTTAAACTGTAAAAAAAACCATTTGGCGGTCAAAAATGATCATTAAACATATGATCAATTTATTAAGTTTATATCAATCGAAAGTAATATTGGAAGGAAACATAGGAATCACAAAGAGATAATAACATTTCTGCAAATATATTTCTTCGTAATGCCATGCCGTCTTGACTTGACATGCTCATTGTGTGAAGTTTCGTTTTCCGAAGATAAAATTTAGAGTTTTTTTTTTTTTTTTTTTTTTTTTTTTTTTTTTTTTTATTTGAACGGCGATCAGAACTTATGGGTTCTATGAGCTGTTGTGATTAATATCTTACAAACTACGTTTGTTTTTATTACAGATGGCACTCCAAACAGTTGTCACATCTCTGTATGATAAATTTTTATTACAATCTCTGTAATAGGGCAAGTATTGTGCACAATGCCGGGTGAGGGCTATTTTCACTTGGAAACATATTGCTATCTATATTTCCAAGTAAAAATCGTTGTCAATGTTGCCTGACAACAGGCTGCTCGAAGTGGGTATCGAACCCGGGACCTCTGAAACAAGTCCCGTCGCTCTTAACCGCTTAAACAAGTGTGAAACAGTGTTTCAATTACTTCGATTTTATTTGTGATCCTATTATTCACATGCATTTGTATATACTATGTATATTATGTTCGTCAGTTGTCGAAAGAAACTGTTATGGATTTCGAGCGTTTTGAGCCCATAAATAAAATCGATCCGGCGATGCTCTTGCTGAAATTAGAGAAAACGAATCATTTGAAATTCCGATTGTCAGATTGTCAGATTTGTGTACAATGTCGTCGATGTCGAAATTATTTAACTCTGCGTGGAATGTGAATGTTGGTCGTTTACTAGCACACGGGCCGCGGGTATGCAAAGGCAAAGCCAAAGCCAAAGCCGATCGTGTGGAGTAGAATAGTGCTGTGCTGCGGTGCGGTGCGGTGTCTCCTGCAACATTTTACCGTTCGGTTTTCTCGTTTGTACGCGTCCCGGATTTTACAATCGCTCTTTGCTGTTGCCTGTTGCCTGTTGGCTTCCATACCAGTCAGTGCCGTTCGCAAGACTCTTCGTGCTTGGCCAGTGGCGTTGCCCGATCTGATAATAGACCGATGATAAAAGAAAAAAAATATTATTACTTTTATTTTCCCCTTGTTGCATTTGGAACCTTTTCTCTTTTCTTTTGTCGTGTTGATTATATATTGTATTATGTATTTTAACTACGCAATCATGATTTGTTATTTGATGGTTATAACAGTTATTACAATTTAATTTATACAAAATAGTGTACGTTTTAGTATAAACTAGTTGGGTGCATGGCATCGTGCCTTAAGGCAAATTGCTGGAACTTCCCGTACTGTAATTAAAAATCTTGGTACGGAACCTAAAAAAAAATTACACAAAATGTGTACACATTAATAAAATCTTTATAAACTAGTGAAGCGCATAGCATCGTGCTTTAAGGCAAATTGCTGGAACTTTCCGTACCAAAAATAATCTTTTTTTAAAAAGATTAACATTGTTGAAAAAAATTTACTTCGAACAAATTAGATTTTTGAGAAACTATAAATTTGACAAAAAATTTCTTTTTTCAAAAAAAAATTTTTTTTTGAAACAAAAAATGTTTTCTTTATTTCGACATATTTTGGAAATTCTGAACTTTTTTCTAAGCAATCGTACTGCTTTAACTGCAGACGAAATGTCAAAGCGCGTAAGCGCCGCGTCGCCGTCTAACGGATAAACATTGGTACGGAAAATTTATAGTTATTATTAAAATCTCTGTAAAATATCTGATAATTTGATGTGCATATGTCTAATGATCATTTTTAACCGCCAAATGGCATTTTTTTTACGTTTTCCACTAGATCTCCGAAACCACTAGACCTGCCTTCATGAAAATTTAATCAGTTCTTCATCTTGTCAATACAAGTAAAATGTTTTTTAAATTATTAAAATTGGACGCTCCGTTCTCTTAAAAACTGAGTTACCGTTTTTGGCACTTTTTGCCGCGTATCTTCGGAACGGCTAGACCTGCCTTCGCCAAAAACTAATAAGCATATCTCCTTATCAATACGAATCGAATGTTTTTCTAATTATTGAAATCGCTTGATCGGTGTTACCGAAATCGTCGACAAAATTTTGTATCCGCACACACATACATCAATTTTTTCTAAGGTATGCCAAAATGTTCAGAAATCTTTGAAACGTAAAGATATATAAAAATTTTCATTTACGTTTTTTTGCGATTACTATAACTTACCCTACGGGAAGTTAATTATTGTATAGTCGAAAAATTCTTGTATTTAACACATTAATCGCCTGTCAGTCATATGTGCCTGACGCTAAGAAGTTATAAGAAAAGTTTTAATAGTCAGTCATATGTCAAAGACTACTTTTTACTATTGGCACTAACCATTTTTCATTTTACTCAACACACTTCAAAAAGCATTAAAAACTATGTTAAAAAAAATAAGTGGTGCAAGGCATCGTGCTTAAGGCAAATTGCTGGAAGTTACCGTACTGAAAATTAAGTATTTTAAAGCTTAATATTTTTGTAAGCTTTGAACTTTTCTTCAAAGCAATTGCGCTGCGTAGTTGTTTTAGAGATGAAATATAGAAGCTCGTAAGCGTCGCGCCGCAATCTAACGGATATACATTGGTACGAAACCTATATAAATTTAAACAAAATTTGTACTTATTATATAAAATCTTTATAAAATATCTGGTATTCTGTTGTGCATATGCTTAATGATCATTTTTGACCCCCAAATATTTTTTTTATACTTTTTTTTGTTTGATTTCTAAAACCGATATACCTGCCTTCTCAAAAACTTAATCAGTTCTTTATTCATTATCGTCACTACAAATAAACTGTTTTTTAAATTATTCATAATTTTTGTCACTTTTGTCCCGTAACTTTGAAATGGCTGAACCTAACTTTGCTAAAAACTAATCAGCACGTCTCCCCATTAATACAAATCGAATGTTTTTGAATTATTTTAATTGTAATTGTTAAGAGATTCTTCATTATGTTGGTGTGTATGTTTATCATCTGTAACCTTATTAGTTTATATATTTTTGTCTTGCATCAAATGTTTTACGTAGATCTTACAATCAATTAATAGATAGTTACGCAAAATTTTTCATTAACACGTTGCGGTAATATTTGATAACTCTCAATATTTTTATTATGTGATAATATGTAAAAAAAAATCTCATGGTTGTGCACGTTATATATCTTGATAAAAAAAAAAACAAGTTTCAAATCCTATTAACAGCGGGGGTCCTAGGTAAATATACCTGAGCTATATTTAAAGAACTCATCGTGAATTTAAATACCGGCTTCCTCTCATTCTCCTTGTTAAACTTTATTTTTTAGAATACGTTTTGAGAATGGTAAATATTATTTTATATATTAAGATAATAAAAATATTGTTTGCACTCTACAAAAGATTATATATTTTTTCAATCTTTGTGTTTAGTGGTTTTTACAACGTGCGTAAAAATATTTTATCATTTTTCTTGCACAACATGGGATAAAATATATTTTAAAATTATATAATTGTTAA